CGCCACTAACCTGTCAATTTTCAGCTGTTACAAGATGCTTCATTTTTATTACTACAGCTGGGGCACGTTTGTTTGAAGTTTAGCACAAAGCAACACAATGGGCTATCTGTGCTCTGCCCACCACGGGTATCGAAACCCGGGTTCTAGCGTTGTAAGTCTGCAGACGTACCGCTGTGCCACTGGGGGCATAACTTGTTACACATAACTTTTTGATGGTTTTGTCTCAAGTCGGTGCATATTTCTTTGTTTTCCAATGTTGTAAAGTGCAAGGGAAATTCTCTGATCTGAACATATCTTCATGATCCGAGTGTATGAATATTTCAAACTCCGGATTTTAACGTTATAGGTTGAACCTCCGAATACTAAAAAAATATCATTACATATATTAAACATACAATTAAAATTAGAGTTTATGTTACAGAATGGAAAATGAAAATTCGACCTAGTGGTGGTGTTATCCAAAGTGAGGGAAAGAGTACATCTTTATCTACCAGCTTCATCAGTTACGATATGCATTTTAAAAATTGCTATATTAAGATCTTATACATAAACACTACCAGAGGCCAAATTTCCACAAGTGCTTGTATTCAAAGACACTTAGAGACCCAACAGCCACAGCCATAGTTATTTCTGAAAATCAAACCTTCTCTCATAAGTGTGATTAGGCTAGCTTTGTGTTCCTATGTGTATTCCAAGCAACATGAACCTGTTTGTAAGTATTGATATAACAATTATTTGTAATGAATATTTTGCTCCTTGTTAAATGCAAAGTTATTCAAGTAGCTATATGTGGTAAGCCAATCGCAGGTATCAAACCCCTATTTTATATTATTATAAGCCCTTAGACTTACTGCTAAGCCACCAAAAGTAGCAAATCATTAGATAAGATCACCTTTTCAGAACTGTTCAATGGCTATTGGTTTTTACAGTGTTTACAGCACAGTTAATTACAAAACTCGTTTTGAATGTTAATATTCTAAAAACCTATATATTACTCCAAAACATGAACCAGTTTCATTCTGTCCAAATTATACTCTTGACTAGTGGTTAATCCAATAATGAAGGAAATGGTGCTTCAAGGTTATAAAGAAATAAATCTTAAAACTATTGTTGTAAGTTATTTGTTTACTAGAGGGAGATGCTGGTCATAATGATGATGTAAATGATCAAGAGACTTTACAAAATATCTAGAAATAAGATATAGCTATAAATACTTTTATACAATTACTTCAGATAATAAATAATGAATGTGTATTCAGAGTCATCACATTTGTTCTGTTATGTAGTTACTTGGTGAGTTACATGTTTGATTATCTAACAATGCTAGTTATTAATCTAAGTTATACATACACCTTACGGTTTGTATAGAAACTTTGTATTTGAACTTTGATTGAACCTCAAAACGATAAACCAATCACTAAGTGAGATTAAATGCTACTAGAATGATGAAATAATTAAAATAAAGCCAAAAAAAAAAGGGATATTGAAAATTAAAAGATAGAGAAGAAAGAGCCCCAAAATTAGAAGAATGAGAAAGAAAATTAGAATAAAGAGGTTTGATATTTAAAGATTTAAAACCAAAAATAAATTTCATTGAAGACAAGATTGAGATGTAAAGAAAGGTTATAATGACACAACTGAAGAAGTACAACAAGATATCAACGAAGTAAAGAAAGGTGCCGATGAAGTACAGAAAGGCTGTAATTTTAAAATCAAAGAAGTTTAAAACAAAATCAATGAAAATGAATTGGTAAATGTAAAGATTAAGCTAGTACTCACTTCTTTCTGCATCAGCTTAAGATTTACAATCTAAAACACTGTTGCGTCAGCGAGGTCACGTGACTAGTGTCACGCCGCTTCCTTCTCTCGAACCTTCGTGAATTATCGGGAGACTACTAGATTGGGGGTAGTCTGGTATATATATATATATATAAGATGGTCACAGTGTGTGGGTAATGAGTAATTGAACTGCAGTCACACACTCTCTCAATACTCCGTTCAATTTTTGAAGTCGAGCTCGTGAGACGTGAGTTATAGCGTTTGTATAGAGCGACTGTTGAAATTAAGTGTATCGGTAAAGTTGTGTTCGG